ATCCACCTCTTCTAAAGATAACTATGTTAATAGATAATTTTCATTCATTTGTATACTGTTCCAAAATATTATAAACAGTATGATGGCTATGGTGGTTTCTTGCAAATTGTGAAAGCCCATATTGGCCAAAAATACCCATATAAGTTTCATTGTTAAAGTACAGCATAGGTTTATAATATGCCCTATGTTCTGACATTTGCTGTTTATTCACAAAATTGAAAGTGGTTTAATGATGTTCATAATCTAGTTGTCATGGTTGTACTGAATGTAAAGTTACATCTTGCATGTTTATTCTTTCCAAATACGCCTTTGATATTTACAACATTTTGTGATAATGAAGAAATGTGTTCCTGACTTTGAATGAAACAATTCAATTAAATCATTAGTTTCACATTTATGCTCTTTGTCAAAAGCCTTTAATATAAAGTACAAAGTTTTCAGATGATATATTACTGACTTCACCTGAGAATATATATTTGATGGTCACTGTCAAATGTTTCTAATAGTATTATGTAACATTGTGGCAGGAGAGTCAAGGAAAATTTTCTTCATCACAAATATCAATGTTTTGGTTAATGTAATAAATTAACAAATATTGGGTGTATTTATGATATGTGTGAAGGAAATATCTTAACAGGGTGGTTAGGACTGACTGAAAGGGAGGAAGAAGGCCAGTTTTTACACTTAAATGGTCAGGGACAAATCTATACTTCTCAGGGAAAAGTCAGGGAATTTTGGCCTGCCGTGCCTGTGGGAACCCTGCACTGGGAATTTTGTTTGTCCATCCTGCCGTATGTCACATTTCATATCTGGAGTACAACTTGGAAACATTTATTACTAAATTTTTTATGCACAGGTATCGAACACTTGATGAAGTTATCATGGAGTAAAAATTCATACAAATATTCCTTATTAATTATTACCATGACAATCGATATATTACGATTCAGATATTAGGAAAATATAGAATATTAGTTTCATCATGATCAGTAACAGCTTAGAGAAAGTCGCCAGTGTAAAGTAATAAAAACTCACCTCACAGACATACTACATACCCGTTTGGTCCTCAAAATTCGGCTTATAGACGGTCATATACGGTAGTTTAAAAGATGTTTTTACATAAACCCTAGCCTAAGGTAATAAGGACTTAAGACAAGAGCTGTCTACACTGTTTAATAAATTGCTTTGATGCATTTTATAAAGTAAACATGTCATCACCTACATTAGAGTTATCATGGAGTAACAATTCATACACAAATTCATTATTAATTATTAGTGAGTGAGATATTGAGTGAGATGGGTTTTATGCCGCTTTTAGCAATATTCCAGCAATATCACAGTGGCGTGATGAGCGAACGCTTCTTTAACCACTAGGCTACCCCACCGCCCCTATTAATTAGTACCTCGACAAGTGATAAAATGATGAATTTTTGGTGGTATTTCTAAACAAAATTTAGATTTTTATAGTTCATTGGCAACAAATACATGCAGTATTCAATTCGTGGTTATTACCAGGGGTGGAAATAACCCATTGCCCGACATCCGAGTCCAGTGTTTATTTCTGTCAGGCAAGCAAATTTGTATATCACGCTGTGCCGGTGTCCAGTTGACTTTCCAATATTAATAATGTTGTTTATTTAAAAAATAACAAAAACGGACTGTATTGTGGAAATATGATCAGGGCAAGTGATTTTACATGTGCCACTGTACCAGAGTACACTAGCAATTTTAAAGTTATTTCCACCCCTGATTACTCTGAAACCATATCATATTGTATTATGAAACTTTGCATATGAATCAAACGTTGCAGTCTTTGAAATCCTTCAAAAGTATTTTATGAAATTAGGTACCCTTCTTCTCTTTTGTGCCCCCATATAGCTGGCATATTGCTGAATGTGGTGTAAAACTTAACTCATTCTTCTCTTTAGTTCCATTCTTTATTATCATGTTTTGTGAAATTAGATTTTCATCTGTCTGTCAGTCTGTGGTTTACACATTCTCATGTGTTAAAGATCACATGTACTCTAGGGGGGTACAAATACATAAATCACTAACTGGCATCGCTATAAATGAAACCCCGTCATTAAAACTACTCACTTCGATCTTTAATCAACTTAAATCGACCTTTTTGACAACAGTGCACAATTCTCACCCGCGAACGAAATTTCAACCAATCAGAGCGGGGCGTCTCTGTGACGTCATATGAGGAATAGATATGAGGGCCGATGCAGAATTCATCTACATTTCAGGGGGTAAATTATCTTGTTTACAGGTTTGTATAAACCTGAAATTGTGACAACTGTTGTGGAAAATGAAAGCTATATGTTCTCACAATCTACTGTCATATAATTTTGTCTCCTGCTTTGCCTAGTTTCCGAGTTACAATTTGTTTTCATAGACGATTTTGTCAAAATCGGTTGGTGTCGTTAGGCCTTATTTGTATAATGACTGATCCAAATTGATCCCATTTCTGTGTTTTTTTACCTCGATATTTAATCATGTCATTAAAATATGACGTCTATTACGTATGATATTAAAAATTGACATTTGATTTATTTGAATCGGTAAACTAAACAACCCTATTTTGCCATTGCTAGAAGAATTTGAAATTTTACTTAGGTAAATAGGTACATACAGTTTTAGCACACAGCAAATGCTTATATGTATTTCTTATGCAAGAATGAAGTTCTGTCCGTATTCTCAAAACAGTGTCAGTGTTAAAATTGCATGCAATACAGCAATTAATACTCCCTCGTTGTAACCCGTGTTATGTGGTATAAACCTACACATGTTTTTTGTCATCATTCACTTGATTCACCTGTTAATGAATTTATAACAGGTATAATTAGTGGTAACACCACTTAGATTACCCGACAAAGGTTCCCAATTGGCATTTCTTGTGTCTGGAGTAAATATTCAACATTATAAACATCGATCAAAGGATTAACCGATAACACGCTGATTGATTAATTACTTTTATCTTACACAGCGGATTTGTCAAAAGGTGGTGTTTATGTATGTAGATTTACTAATCTATACTGAATACACTCTGTCGTGTCTGTGTCTGCGTAAAAACAACGTCCTTCCTTCAAAGGATTAACCGCCAATACAGTGATTGATTGCTCATTATTGGCTAAATAAATTACCGTTTTTAAAGAATGGCAGACATTATGCAATCAGTTGCCAGGTGTGCTATCTTGGGTGACCAATGAGACTATACAACAATGTGACATACCTGAAATGATATATCACTTTTTCGTATACTAGACTGTTAAAAGACACATTACTTGGAACAGCTGCAGATGAATGGCATATCACTCATTTTTGTGGATATTGAGGGATACATTCCTCGAACAAGGTAATAGCCTGACATCGTTCCTATAAATTTAATGTTTTAATTTTAATATTTACATTTTGTTTTTATTCATTTGTCATAGCATTCAACAGAATCGTTGTTTTCGCCGTGAAGTGTAATGAGACATACACTAGGGCGTCTGTGCAAATTACGATTCACATTGGCAAACTATATAATGTCTAGATATTACAGTGCTGTTATAAATGCACTATAAGTATCAGCAGATTGTCTGCTTTTTATTTAGTTTCAAAATGCATACAAGTATGATAATATAATTATAATATGATTATAAGACCAAACATAAAGACGTACATTGACTAGTACAAGTGTCGGATTATCGAGAGTTGACTGTATCTACATACTGGTGAGTGCATGTTAACCACGTGAATGTAGCAAGACATTTTCGCGCACAGTATTGTCACTTCGACCCCCCACCTCGCTTCCGTGGAAGAAATCGTTATGTAATAAGTTGTGTCATGCAAAATGCTTTTGGTTATGATTCAAATACATATTTAACTACTGAGTAGAAAGTAGTTTTGATTTTCTAACTTGATGAAAACAAACCATAATCTCATTAATTCTAACAGACTTTAGCCCGTGACTTCACAATTTTCAAAAATGGCGTAGCTCTATCGCGAACATCCGCCAGTCTGAGTATAAATGCTATTTAGGTTTGTTTTCACCGAAGTTACAAAATCAAAACTACTTTCTATAGGTAGTAAAATATGTATTTGATTGATGGCCAATAGGATTTTGCATGATGACTTTATAACATAGTTTATAACATAACAATAGGTCGGTGTCAATATAATACTACATGTACTTAGCGTATTATTGTTCGGTGCTCTGAGGCAGAAATAATACTCCATGTACTACATAGTATTATTGTTAACTATTTCGACCAGAAGCTTAGGTTGAGGCAGAAATCGTAATTTGTTACATGTAGTATTATATTGTAACCGATGAGAGAAAAATCTATGTCATGGAAAATCTTTATGGTCATCAATCATATACATATTTTACTAGGACTAGTAAGTAGTTTTGATTCTTTAACTTCCGTGAAGTGATCTGAACACAAGAAAGATATCGTTTCAGGCTTCCACAATGCTCACTTCGCACTCACAAACATAACCCATTTTGCACGAACTGCAGGATCCTGTGGAAATCTGTGCATGGCGACACCATCGCCCGACCTCTAGAAGCAATTAACGACAACGCAACGATTTGACATGTCTTCGTTAATGTCGAGAAATCATCAAAATGACGAGCTTGCTACACACTTTCTATACAACTAACTGAAAATCGTTCCTCATATGACGTCACTGCAGTGCTCTGGCGACAGAGTTACGTTACCTGTCTGTGGTTTCGTTGGCGGGCGAGAGTGAAGCAGGCGACTTTTTGGCAACTTTTATTCGCTTGGTACTAATTAACCACAAGTTTTTAAAGAATGAATTTGGTGTTCCGCATAAGACTGACCACAAATATTTCATATGTAATAGTTAAAAGAGTACCAAAAAAAAAAGTTTATTGTTCTTTAAGTATTTTTACGTATTTGAAGTTTTCATCAAATCCAGTGACACCACATGTTCAACACACCTCGTACCAATAGACTGATGATGCCTAGATTGAAAACTCTTTCTTTCAGATAAACTTTGGTGGGCAGTGCATTCTCTATGGAGACGTAAAGTGGCAAAATGAAACCTTTTTTAGGTACACGCCAACAGACATGCACAACTGCAACTTCGCGATATATCTGAATGTGTTTGGGTGTATTTTCTACAGCCTTGGAATGGTAATATACCATGGCTATGCAATGACTAGGAAGGATCCAAACATCGGGTGAGTGGAGCCTTTTTGTTTCATAATGTCAGTGTAGGAAAGATGTAGAAAATCTAGCCTGTCCACAGGACTGGCAGGTCAAATTTTTTACCAGTCCTGCCAAAATCTAGCCTGTCCTCCAAATATAAATAAAACACCTTCGGCAGTAAATATTCAAAAAGGTTATAATCATTATATATATGTCATTGGTTTGCTAAAATTGACACGACATGAGGACGGACTAGATATTTTTTTTTAACCCGTCCTCCACAAAATTCACCCGTCTCGGACGTTGGGACGGGCTATCTTTCCTACACTGATAATGTGATCATTGCTACTTGCAGACCATACCTGCATGTCATGCTACACATGTCCTCCATCTTGGATAAAGTTTACACGTTCCTATTCTTCTCCAAGAATAATGAACAGAGGCGATGTAACCATTCTAATTGTTGTTCCATATAATAGAGTGAGTGAGTGAGTTTAGTTTTACGCCACACTCAGCATTATTACAGCTTCTTTGAGTGGCAATATTACAGCTATATGGCGGCGGTCTGTAAATAATCAAGTCTGTTCCAGACAATATAGTGATCAACAGCATGAGCATCGATCTGCGCAATTGGGAACCGATGACGTGTCAGCGAGCCTGACCACCCGATCCCGTTAGTCGCCTCTTACGTCAAGCATGGGTTACTGAAGGTCAATTCTAACCCAGACCTTCACGGGTCTCCACATAATAGAGAAGGTGTAACCATTCTAATAGTTGTTCCAGGTAACATAGGCTGTGTAAATATTCTGAATGTTGTTCAAGGTAGCTGAGGTGTAGTAACCATTCTGATTAGTTATTCCTACCCACGAAGGTCAGGGCTAGAATATTGATCTTCAGTAACCCATGCTTGTCGTAAAAGGCGACTAATGGGATCAGGTGGTCAGGCTCGCTGACTTGGTGCGGCGTAAAACTAAACTCACTCACTCACTGATTGTTGTTCCAGGTAACAGAGATGTAGTAAGCATTTTATTTGTTGTTCCAGGTAACAGGTGGGGTTACTATTCTGATCGTTGTTCCAGGTAACATAGGCTGTGTAACTATTCTGATCGTTGTTCCAGGTAACATAGGCTGTGTAACCATTCTGATTGTTGTTCCAGGTAACATAGGCTGTGTAACCATTCTGATTGTTGTTCCAGGTAACATAGGCTGTGTAACCATGGTAACCATTCTGATTGTTGTTCCAGGTAACATAGGCTGTGTAACCATTCTGATTGTTGTTCCAGGTAACATAGGCTGTGTAACCATTCTGATCGTTGTTCCAGGTGACATAGGCTGTGTAACCATTCTGATCGTTGTTCCAGGTAACATAGGCTGTGTAACCATTTTGATCGTTGTTCCAGGTAACATAGGCTGTGTAACCATTCTGATCGTTGTTCCAGGTAACATAGGCTGTGTAACCATTCTGATCGTTGTTCCAGGTAACATAGGCTGTGTAACCATTCTGATCATTGTTCCAGGTAACAGAGGCTGTGTAACCATTCTGATCGTTGTTCCAGGTAACATAGGCTGTGTAACCATTCTGATCGTTGTTCCAGGTAACATAGGCTGTGTAACCATTCTGATCGTTGTTCCAGGTAACATAGGCTGTGTAACCATTCTGATCATTGTTCCAGGTAACATAGGCTGTGTAACCATTCTGATCATTGTTCCAGGTAACATAGGCTGTGTAACCATTCTGATTGTTGTTCCAGGTAACATAGGCTGTGTAACCATTCTGATCGTTGTTCCAGGTAACATAGGCTGTGTAACCATTCTGATCATTGTTCCAGGTAACAGAGGCTGTGTAACCATTCTGATCGTTGTTCCAGGTAACATAGGCTGTGTAACCATTCTGATCGTTGTTCCAGGTAACATAGGCTGTGTAACCATTCTGATCGTTGTTCCAGGTAACATAGGCTGTGTAACTATTCTGATCGTTGTTCCAGGTAACATAGGCTGTGTAACCATTCTGATCGTTGTTCCAGGTAACATAGGCTGTGTAACCATTCTGATCGTTGTTCCAGGTGACATAGGCTGTGTAACCATTCTGATCGTTGTTCCAGGTAACATAGGCTGTGTAACCATTCTGATCGTTGTTCCAGGTAACATAGGCTGTGTAACCATTCTAATTGTTCCAGGTAACATTGGCTGTGTAACCATTCTGATTGTTGTTCCAGGTAACATAGGCTTTGTAACCATTCTGATTGTTGTTCCAGGTAACATAGGCTGTGTAACTATTCTGATTGTTGTTTCAGGTCCCAGATGTGGGTGATGCCCTTCATACTTGTGAATGCCCTGATGACTGTCATAATATTCATATCCTCTTGTATGATCAGTGTTGGCTTTAAGGTCTTCTGTGACGGCCTGCTCAGCGGCAACGAGAAGGGTGCTCGTGTCAAAAGGTGAGAATGTACCTTTACCCAAATCCTGTTTACAGAAATATACCTTTGCTGACATCTTAAATACAGAAATGTACCTTTGCCGAAATTGTGAATACAGAATTCTGCCTTTGCTGAAATTATGAATACAGATGTTTGCCAAAAAATCAGGTACAGAAATATACCTTTCTTAAAAGGCTGAATACAGCACGTACTGTTGCTGATCTTCTGTGTACAGAATTTTACCTTTACCAAAATCTTTAATAGAGTAATATATTAGTACCCTAGCTGAAAGCTTTATGTAGATGGGACCAAATCCTCATACAGAATTTTTTCCAACTCGCCATTATGCCGGGCTAGTGATCCAGCAAGCTTGGAGATGCCAGGATCGAGCCCACCTGTGACAGGCTGTTTAAACCTTGGAGTCAACTTTGTGTGCAGACTCTTTCAGTGTTGTACGCTATAGGTTATATACTATATAATGGACCCATAGGCAAAAGTTGTATACTCCCAGGGAGTTGAGATTGATGAATGAAGGAGTATGGTTTTACGCCGCTTTTAGCAATATTCCAGCAATATCGTGGCGGGGGACACCAGAAATGGGCTCACACATTTTACCCATCTGGGGAATTGAACCCAGTCTTCGGCATTATGAGCGAACACTTTAACCACCACTAGGCTACCCCATCGCTCCTGAGATTGATAATATGAAGTGCTGTTGAGATTGACATCCAATGTTCAAGGGAAAAACCAGCACCTTGAGCATGTACTAGTTGCGTGGATATGTGCGCTATATAAATATCTTATAATGATAAAGTAACACCTGCCTCGTGTCAGCAGATATACAATGTCTTGAGTTTCCTTCCAGCTGTGCAGATGGACAGCAGTGGGACTGGAACAGATATGGCACTGACTACACGACGGACACCTATTACACCTATCTCGCAGTAACCCAGGTGAGTTTATACCAAATAGGAGACTGATATAGTCTTAAACCTTGTAATACCTCAGTTATGAGGTTTTAGGGACTTTGATCTGAGCCATCTGAAAATGAAAAAGTTACACTGATATTTGAAGATAGAATTTGACTATTAGTATTTTGTTTGTATTGCTGTAATAGAAAGTACTGAAGAGATTGATTAAACAATAGATCAGTCATTATAACTGAAACATCAAATGTCATTGTTTACTGTGCAGAGTTGTGTCGATCGGGGTGACTGAAGCATCTTTCAATCCTAAACCCTGCAGGTGGTGAACGTGAACGACCAACCTCACAACTAACTTCAATCACACTTTAAGATGAAATGCCTGATAGAACTGAAAATATTGTTCAAAGCAGCTTCAGACCCAACTTACTGTAGTTTTAGAATTACATGCTAGTTTTACATCTACATTTATGGTATTCTAGTTGTTTTTACTGCCGTCAGCAACAGGTTTTTATCTTCTGAGTTTTAGTCACTATATGGCTGAAATACTGCAGATGTGACTAAAAAATACTCACACAGAGCACTCAGCAATTTTCCAACGTTATGATAGTGATCTTTAAATAATCAAACCTGGATCAGACAATCCAGTGATTGACATCATGAGCATCGATCAACACAATTGGGATACAATGTCAGTCAAGGGAATGTGTTTTCCAGGCCTGATTATTTAGCTTGAATATTACTGTCTGACGTCGGATTATCTAACTGAATATATAGGGCTGCATCAAGCACTTTAACCTTAATCCCTAGGCAACCAATTTAATTATGTGTTTGTTTCACAGACCGCAACATGGACATCGTTTTTGGTGTGGTCAGTTCAGGTTATCCTGGGAATATTTCGATTTATTCGGAACCGGCCCTTGAGATCTAAGGACCAGTTCCACGACCCAGCACCCAGCGTAGACTCTCCAGGCAACTCCAAGACTCCAGCAGACTTGGAGAACTTTGCATCAATACAATCTACAGCTTGATGCTGATTTGAAATAATTACATCACATGATCTTGTGTCTAGTGGGAGGATTACAATTAGCCTGCCTCACGTATCAACACTTATTGTGGTACTAGAGTCATGATATTACCGTACTTAAGTAGTGCTGTGTGATGTTCACATTCCATGGTGCTGGTCTAACAAGTGGTTGTTGCTATCAACCTGTACATATCTAACTATTGCCAGACCAATTTTATTTCTTGTTTTACGGATCCGCCTGTCATATTTTTTCAAGAATAAGAAAAAAAATAAAAACTGATTTTCCCCGCTCAAAAAATAAAATCCTAATGTTTTTTTATTGGCCAAAAATGTAAACATACAAGAAATTTTGTTATTAGATTGTTTTTTGCCCCATATACACTTCATAAATTGCCAAAAGTAACACACTTTGAGTATTTAGAAGGAATATTACTTTGACTGGTGATTTTATTTTATTTAATTTTTCCCTCCTGCCTTTAGGTTTTCTGAGGACAAAAATCTGTAAAACAAGAAATAAAATTGGTCTGGCCTTGTGTTAAATTTGAACTTGTTTTGATAGTAATATTCACCTGTGGGATAACAGTTTGAAAGAAATATACAGTCTAAAACATGAATTGATACATGGGTAGACATGTTGTCAGGTGTAATTCACAGTGGATCTATACACTGGTGAACTGTCACATCTTTAGTGACTTGGTTTAGTGTCAGGAATATGACATTGTGCAAAAACAACAACATTCCTTACCTTTTAATCTTGTATTATTCTTTAACATATGAGATGTTCCAAAAATGTCTTTTCTTACTTTAACTGGTTTAACATCTTTAGGATAAGGACATTGTGTAAGGTCTTAGTTGTGGTCAAAATTCATGGTGAATCATTGTGTAGAGTTGTGTCCCTTTAGTGCCATAATCATATGATCATAGCTTTTTACCATGTTAAGCAAGGCTCCAGATAATTTTTCAACATGAGGAGTACATACTTCTTATTTTTTCAATACAGGAGTACGGAAAGTACATTTAGAGTACTGAATGGAATTTAATGGAGTATCAGTAATGTTGTGTTTCATTTCATGTATGCACCACAACATTGCTAGTCTTGTGTAAACAGGTCAATAAACAATAAAACAATACCTTTTCAGATAAATATGTCTGTAAATGACTCTAAGATCGTACACCATTGTCGTGGTATTAATCTGCTACGTTTTCTAAATTATTTCCTTCCGTATCGTGCATATATTTTATCCGTACCTACGCCAATACGGCCCTTATCTGGAGCCCTGGTGTTCAGCCTACATGACGTTGTGCTTACCCCTACGTCAAGCTCACATTCCATGATATAACTGAAATACTGTTCAGGATTGTTTTGTCAATATACAAAATGTGGCAATAATCAAACTCAGATTGGTTGCAGGGGTAGCTATGTTGCACCATTCTGCATAAGTTATTACATTTTTTTCACATGCTGTTGATCACTGGTTTGTCTGGTCCAGACTCGATTATTTATAGACCGCCGCCATATAGCTGGAATATTGCTGAGTGTGGCGTAACACTAAACTCACTCACTCACTCTTGTCCAGACACATTTGATAGGTTATGTGAGACCCACCCCTCAAGGCCATTACTACTTACCCATGTTACTTTCACACAGTGGTTCTAGCTTGTATAACTGGTACTGTCCTAGGCTGGGTTATGTGTGTGATAAACACCCTTTTCTTATACATGTACCTATCATTTATATAAAATATTTTGCATGTGCATTAGAGCAAACATATAAAAGAGGGTGTAACAATCACAATCTATATTGCACCCTACCTGGGCTGACATGCATTTTAAATTGGGGATCAATATGAGCCTGGGTGGTGAGAAATTGGAGTTATGTCCCTTTGTTGGTCATCTGATCAGTTTCTTTTTCTGCGACAAGTTCATCAAATTAGGTGAAAGTGTATTGCCTTCACTTGTAATTAGATACATTTTATAAGTGTTTAGTTGATACAAAGGTAATTGTGTGACAGTTTTCCTTTCATAACTCATATCGTCATCAACCTCAATATCAGCCCTTTGGCAAACTCCCTCAGGTCTCACGTTGATATAGGATATCTGCCATTTTGTAACCACTAATTATTGAATGAGCATTTAGTAGTTGTGGAATTATTTGTATCATGAAAACTGTCAAAATATAAGTTTATTTAATCTTTTATAGGGACTTTGTGAAAGCTTTGAGCTCATTGATATTTTATAACATGACCCTTTTACACAGGGCATTACCTAGTGAGAAATATAGGAAATGTTTCTAATTATGAAGGTCAAGATTTCTACATGTAGTATAGGTCCATCTCCTATTCTCGCGGTAAACACGTTTTCTGCCCAAATCGCCGATGCGTGACACTTACCGGTTGTTTACATCACCGACTGGTAACTAGGAAGTGGACCATGTCTGTGAATGATCAAAATCTTGCAGTGTCACGAATATTGGGGAGTTTATACCAACTTGGACATATCATTACCTTTTCTTGCCCTTTCCGGCAGGATTGCTCTTACATACACTCAGTAACATTAATTTCTGGTAATACTGCGAGAATGGGAGAAGCCTCGTTTCGTCAATGGCGGATGGCATTGTTTATCACCGGGCTCACGAGTGGTAATTCACCTGATGGATCTAGCAGCTGATAGATGTAGATGTTAGAAGAGAAGAGCCTTCATTTAAAACCAACAAGCATTCATACGATAAGAACTGTTTGTGTTATTTTTTCAGCCGATATCCGTTTCACCATGAGAATAGGAAACGCCTTCCTATATCCAAGCTGATGTATTCACAGGCAAAAGTAAAGAAACAATTATGAAGGCAAACTTTTGTTTTGCTGTAAAATGACATGGACAACCTGGATGATAGTTTTTCTAAATATTTCAGTTTAATTATGGAGAATATGCAAACGTATGTGTTTGTGGGAATTGCCTAGTATTGCAGTTTAGTCTTATTAAGTTCTTTCATTTTCACACGTGTGATAAGCCGTACAAATGCTTTCAGATGTTTTTTATGTATGCCCTCATTTTCTATTTTGTGAGGGTTTAAGTCATAATACTGTGTGTCAAATGTGATATGTCACACTTCAACTATGTATTTGATGACAGATGATATTGTTTCAGTAGGGCTATACTGAGGTAAAAAGAAACATGACCAGGTACCTGATTATGTCTTGAAATCTATGAAGAAAATGAGGAAGTAATATTTAAACATATACACGTATTCACAAGCAAAACGAACTGTGATCAGATAAATTTCTTGATAAATGAAAATCTGTAGTAGTAATTGTGATATATAGACTTTATGTCATTTGAAAGTTTTTAGATCTTCTTTTTTTCTAGCTGTTCTACATGTGAAGGGTGAAATAACGTCACAGTAACATGTGTTTAACAAAGAATGATTAGCACAATATTAAATTGTCAATTTATTTCTTTTTCAGTAGTATTTACTGAAAAAAGACACATTTGGAATCATGAATGTTTTTGGATATCTTTCTATTGCAGTTTCAGTTTCATGACATTTCTTGAGATGAGTATGGTATTTACAAACATATTTCATGATACAAACCTCTTTTGTTTAGTATATACATATATTATAATTTGAAAGCTTCTCTAGTCTCCTGGTTACACAATTAGTCAACAGTATACATGACATCTTCAAAGCAGGGGCAGTGGGGTAGCCTAATGGTTAAAGCATTGGCTCATCATGCCGAAGACCCGGGTTCGAATCCCCACATGGGCACAATGTGTGAAGCCCATTTCTGGTGTCCCCCGCCGTGATGTTGCTGGAATATTGCTAAAAGCAGCGTAAAACCAAACTCAGTCAGTCTTCAAAGCAATCAAGAGGAGTTTATAGTAATGTACTTCTAAGACATGTTGAGCACCATTTACATTTCATTGGCCCTGATGTCTGCATGATGTCATAATATATACTATATAGGTAAACTCATTATACCATATCTAACAAGTTCCTAGCATTATTGTTATTAGATGAAAACTAATTGTACACTCGTTCTGTTTCATTTGTGTTGTTTGTTTATATGTTGTTGTTCAATTTATTATTGGTTGTTTGTATTGAATGCTATCATGTCAGTGATGAGAATAAAGTCAGCACCCTCACTACCAGCATCGTGTCACAGCTGAAAGCTAAAGCAGTATTAATGACATTTTATGGTGTCCTTGTGATAGTTTTGAAGGTTTAAAAACAGCATTATCTGACTTAATGAGTGATGTACACTTTGTGGAAGTCATATTTGAGATGTTGCTGTGTGCTGCACATATTCAGCTATCACTCATGTGGAAGCCAGGCGGTGGGGTAGCCTAGTGGTTAAAGCGTTTGCTCATCACACCGAAGGCCCAGAGTTGATTCCCCACATGGGTACAATGTGTGAAGCCCATTTCTGGTGTCCCCTGCCATAATACAAACCTCTTTTGTTTAGGGGGCGTTGGGGTAGCCTAATGGTTAAAGCGTTGGCTCGTCACGCCGAAGATCCGGGTTCGAATCCCCACATGGGCACAATGTGTGAAGTCCTTATCCTCTGTCCCCGACCAGTGATATTGCTGGAATATTGCTAAAAGTGGCATCAAACTAAACTAACTCACGTATATGGAAGCCATTAACACCTTGGTGGACTGACTGACTGAGTTTGGTTTTATGCCGCTTTTAGCAATATTCCAGCAACATCACGGCGGGGGACACCAGAAATGGGCTTCACTCATTGTACCTATGTGGGGATTCGAACCCGGGTCTTCGGCGTGACGAGCCAACGCTTTAACCACTAGACTACCCCACCGCCCCACCTTGGTGGAAACCAGGAGTGAGTATTTTCTGTAGCTATGTTACAGGTACTTTAAGGATCATATGTGTTACTGTTATTACTGTGTTTGATTGGTTTCTTTGGGAATTAGCTTGTTATGTGATTTATCAACCTTGATTGAAGTTGTTTGAACCGTTGTTAGGTTGCAACTTTTTGCGAATTTAACATGCTTCTGATTGAATGTTAAATTGTTGTTTGGTGGAGGATGTGACTTGTTATCTATGCATTTCATTTTTATCAAAAGTTTTGATAAACTCTCAAATATATTTTTGTGGTTTGAAAAGATGTCATCGAGGTACTATTTTTTAATGTTTTGAACTTGAGATCTATTTTGTATTTTATACAATTTTGAAAGCATCAGTATACTGTCGGCTGTTTCCAGAATATGAAAGAGAATACAGCAGTTGATTATTAAGTGAAATGATTTTACATGAGCAGTATTTTGATGGAGAGTATTTAATTAAAAATGCCTGGATATTTAA